GCTGCGGCTTGTTCATGAGAACTTACTGAGTGTGTGTGATTGTGCATGCGTGTGTATGTGTGTGTAAGTATGTGGCTAGCTTGAAGAGCAGTCAGGCCCAGTACAGCTAGGGCATTGTTGTAGAGTCATTAAGGTGTAAATTATACTTCTAATTAGCCATTAAGTAGCAACAGCCGCCAGGCAGCAGTCAACGTTTAAGAGCAGATGCCAAGCTAGCAAAGCTGCCACAGTGATATACATATATGTATGTGTGTGTGTGCGCCTGTGGCGTGGCAAGAACTATGAAAATGCAATAAAACTTAATGAGCTAACATAATGTGAAAATAAAAAGTAAATTAAAGCAGTCTTAACTTTGGGCATTGAATTTTACTTTGACATGGAGTAACATGCAAAGCGAGCTCCGTGTTTGTTTCCCTTAGCAGTTGCTTATTATGTGCCCTGGTTTAAGTTTTAGGTGGGTCCAATCAAATTTCAAAGGGCCCAGAAAAACTACCTGACGTTTTTTTTTGCTGTTGTTAAAGCTGCACAACAAACAAAGGCATCAAAGTCTCAAACACATAAAAATAGTTAAGAAAAGACAATGCACTCGAGTCAATACCAAATGTGTAGGAGTGTGTACGTGTGTGTGTCTGTGAGTATCTTGAATCCTTTACCTATAATGCTTATAAAGAGAAGGACAAACAACAACCATAGCAACAGCATCAACAAAGCATGTGCGAGAAAAAACGTAGAATAAACAAAAGCAGGAAAAAAGGAAAACTAACTGAATTCTAGAGAAATAAATAAAGTGAAGAGATGCGAGCGAGCTGCAGCGCCAGACAGACTGTTGAAGCAGAAAATCGAAAATTTATACAAATAATATATTGAAAATATAAGAGAAAAAGAGAAAGCTAAGAGAATGCCAGCGACAACGTTGCAAAAGCGTTCAGCAAATGTGCAGCGGCAACAAAAGGAGCAGCGCGTTTCCATTGCCAACGTATGTGTGGCTGTGTGTGTAGGTGTGCGTGTGTAGGCCTGTGTGTGTGTGTGTGGAAGCTGGCATTATGGTATGGGTGTTTGCTATGGCTAAATTTGCATTTATTTTCTGAGGGCATGTTCAAATGTGCAACGAACTGTGTTTGAGTGGAAGACAACGCTCGCCGGGGCAGTGTCAGTGGCTGCAGCAAGGTGCCGGGGCAGGGGCAGGGGCAGTGGCGGGGGCAGGCAACTGCACGGGCACACTCGAGTGGTGCAATCAAAGAAGATGCCGCTGCCTGCAGCAGTTAGCGCTCATTGCAGTCCGCTCTTGGTCTCTCTTTGATAGCATGTCCAAACAGCTTAAGACAAATGCACAAACAGGCCGTCAAACACACACACATACATACATACACACACACACACACACACGCACGCACAGGACATACACAGAAAACTGACCCTGCAGCAAAACCTGTAACGGAGCTGCATGAAACTGGCTTTGATTTGACTGCTGTTAACATTTTAAAGCATTTTACTTTTGATGGCAAAATTGAATTTTTCCCTTTGCAGAAACTAAAAAAAAAACGAGCTTTGCAAAAATCCAGAGGGAAAGTAAGAAGAAGACGGCACACATAATGCTGAGCTGCCGTGCTCATTGCTTGTATTTATTTTTTTTGCAAATTGCGTCATGTTGCATAATGAGCTGTAAACCAGCGAGCAGCAGAAGCAGGAGGAGGAGGAGGAGGAGCAGCTTGCCAAGTATTTACGTTTTTACCAGGCACACATGGCGTATGAGTGACATTTAATTTTCAGTCGACTGTAGCACAGAAAATTCAGCCCGTGTGTGTGTCTATGACACTCATCAAACACGACAACTTAAATTTAACTGCACACATTTCGTAGCTTCAATTTTAATAATTAATTGCATTTTCAAATTATTTGCATAGTCAATACGCATAATTTCAATTTTCACATATAGCTGTTGAATTAAATTTTCAAGTCAATATAATGAAATGCTTAGGTGTTCATTTAATTTCCACACCTTCTGCCGGCAGCCTTTTAAAGCATGCAAATAAAATTGTTATATATTGGGCAGCTTTGCTTTTTCTTGGCCAACCCAAAAGTTAAACCCCAGGCAGGCCGTAAAAACGCAGGCAGGCGGGTAGCTTGTGGGCAATGTGCGTTGCCCGTTGCCCGTTGCCCGCATCCGGGCACGCATTTCACAGCTAATAATAAATGAGCCGGGGTTGTCGTCGGCAACGTTTTTCAGCTGAGCACGTACGCATAAATTTCAGCGCGATGCGTCAAGTGAGGACCTAAAACACGTGTAAGGCATATATACACAGCGTTTTGGCCTTTTTGTGCACCCTGTACGCATTGGGTGGCTTACATTGGGTATAATATACTGCAGGCTGAAAACCAGTCTGCGATTCTATAGGATTCCCACAGACTCTTCTTGAAACTATATGGGATGTAGAAAGAAAATTTGTGTATCCCATAGGCACAAAAAAGGGTATAATATACTTAAGCAAATGCAATGAGTACGGTAATCAGCTATCAAATAAGGTGTATCTATTCCCAGTTACGTTTCCAGAAGTTTTAATGAGCATAAGCTGTGTCGAAGAGGGTATCTCTTACCCTAGCAAATGCATGTACACAACTATTCATCCGAAATGATCCATATGTTGCCAACAGTTTTCTTTTTTAAAGATCTTTTTATAGCTCCTCGTTTTTCAAAATATTTCCTAGAATACATCAACTATTTGAGATTTCTGCAAATTTTGTAAAATAAGCTAAAATAAGTGTTTTCTTTTGCTTAATGGAAGTTCGAAGAAAATTCTATTCTGCTGCTGATTTCCACTAAATATGGATGTCATAAAGTCTTTCAGCGTCTTGCTCGCAGTTCGGCCCAAAACATATCCAGGTGTATGTCCTTCCTTCCATACGATGTCAAGAATACCATCATCGGAAGGGCTATCGAATTAATCAACAGCGTTTTCGTATCCAAGGCTGCAAACTGGTTTAAAACAGAACTGGTTCGAAATCAGTAATCCAATTTATTTTTACTGTTAACTTAATCTTTATCCAAAATCAAAACTGAACAGCCCAAAATATTTACTGGAGTCGTTGGGATTTTTTCAACGTGCGATCGAAACAATTGTAAATTAAAATTTAATTAAAGTCAAGAAGCCGCTTCCAACCGTGAACCGAATCATTCGCCGGGTATCAAATTTGCAGATCAGCTCAAACTGAATTTTGTGATTTATATGTTATCTCTATATGCTGAGTTAAGAAAACTAAAAATAGCTGTTTAACACAGGGTATATACCCGTACAGCAATTTTCAATTAAATGCAAACTTAATTCCTGTTGCAGGTGTAGGCGGCTAGTGCGTGGCTCCAGTTTCAACGTATATATACATATATATACCTTTTTTCTGTGCCCAGGTCTTGAAGTACCTTATCCCTTAAGCATAATGACCGGCAATTACGGACGGAGAGCTGACGTCGAGGCTGACTCGACTTACAGCCTTGTAAGCATATGTCTGTGAAGTTATGTGCCAAGTGTAACATATTCTAAATAATTGATGAGTGTGCCCGAGCGGAGGCAGCTCGTCAGCCAGTTGGCTTCCAACTTTAAAGCGTATGCAGCATTTGCATAAAAACGGCTTTGACTGCTGCCCATCAATTAGACGCAGTCGCCGGCAGTTGATAATACCTATGCCTGGCCTGGTCCCCAGCTCCTTCCCTGTGCCCGAGCACACATTACAAACACTTCAATTTCCGGCTGTCTGGGCAAGAGGCTTCACTTCACTGACAACCAAGCCTCCTTTGCCATCTGTACTGTGACTGGCAACTTTAATCAACGTAAATTAATCATCTATATACTTCGCAACATAGTTCTTTTGCAGCTTCCGCACATTGCAGCCTCTTTGGATTTATCCAGTTAAATGTCAGTCATTGATCCTTAGTAATTTTTTTTATATTTAAAACGAACCATCTGCCTGTCATACCACATAAATCAATTAGCGTCAAATCAAATGTTTTTTTATTGAAACTTTCAGCGTGAAAGCTAAACAAACGATTACGACTTGTTTTTACTTGCAATGTTTATTCACATTAACAGTCGAGTAATATCAACATCCATTGGGTTCGTAACTATTGCTACCGTTAATACTTTCGTACGTTTTAGCTTGTTATAAAAAGTTGTACATATATAAAATAACTAGCGGGTAATACCCGGCCTTGCCCGTGGCAAGTTTTGTAATAAATACTGTAGATATTACTATTTCAACGGTTGGCATTTAATTGCTGTTCTATCTTGAACTCTTTTATTTGAAAATATGTTTAAAGTCAATAAACGAAAATATGCATACGATTGTAAAATTTTATACATTTAATAAGACCCACCTTTGATAAGAATACGTACCCGTTTTTAAGTGAAGCCGCCGTCTCGTTCATAGTTGAAACGGCCGTCTTCTCTATTGCTTAAGCTGCCGTCGAATCCATAGTTAAAGCCGTCCCCTCCTCTTGAAGTGAATCCTATAAGACTTACTTGAGTTCATGAGAATTGCATAGTAGGGCATTAATTACACACACTTTTCTCTGTGTGCACACGCCCATACATAAATACATACACACGAACACAAATATGGATACATACAAACATGTAACCCATGTATACCCACACACGTCTATACACATATACATACATGCATGCACATAAGCAAACATACACATATACATATATACATTCAGACATACATACATACTTTTATACGTGCATACATACATACATATATATATATATTTATTTATTTATTTATACATGCATACATATATATACATATACATTCATATATACATACGTACGTACGCACATACATAGAAACATTCATAAAGAAAACAAATGACATAACTAATATCTAAATTCGTGACTAAATAAAAATGTTTTGCTAAAGCATGACTTTGGTCATGGTTGCAATATGGATTCTTAGCGTAGCACTTGATAAGCTCCAGATTCAGTTTCACAATCAGTATCAATTAAAATGCAACGGAATAAAGGTGAATTTGTGCTTCTGTTATTACTGCTGAGTGCGCAGATTGTTGTTGGTGTGTGGCTAAAGCGTTATATGGAGGAATTTCATCGGCCTTCCTATTACAATCGAGCGCACAAACAAAACATGCACGTTGATTATAATCGGGATATTTTAGCTGAACGGGATCGTAAAGAACCAGTAGCACGCAGTGCCGCACTGCCAACATTTGATCCCAACGTGCATAAAAGCTATTATGTGCACGTACTGCACAAGGGTTCGGTTTTTTGTAGCGGCGCTCTAATCTCACACCGCATGGTCATCACCTCGTCCCGCTGTTTCCTGAGCAATGAGATTGAGCCGACTCGCGAATACAAGGCCAAGCAGATGTCTGTGTTGCCTGGGCATAGATTCGGTAAACCCAAGCGGAAGGTCTTGAATGTCCAGGCCTTTTATTTGCCCACCAGCAAACATGAGAGCGGAAATATCCACGATATTGCGCTTCTGGGATTGAAGAAGAAGATGAATCGGAAGGTTCGCTATATAAAGCTCTTTGAACAAATGCCAAAACCGGGCGGTACTGTGAATATGTCCTTTTTGGATTCTCAGACTCAAGCTATTACCCTGTTTAAAACCAAGGTGGTAGATTTCGGGGAATGTAAGGCCTCCTTTGAGCAGAGCGGCAAAATTGCTATTCCCTTTGACAAAGAGTTCTTCTGTGTGAGGAACAGGAAGAATGGAGGCTGTAGCACACGCGCCGGCGATCCGCTGATCATTGACAACAAGTTGGCCGGCATCAATATTTATGGCGAGCATTGCGATGAGTTGGAGGGCAATCAAATGGTCGATGTTTACTATGCCATACCGCATACCATACCATTTATACAGAAAGCAACGGACTTACTTAGAGCTTTAACAGGCACAGGGTCCTTCAATGAATCGGCAACAACGAAAAGGACACAGCTAAAGCCAAAGAGAACCACAGTTAAAGTAAATGTATCTACTCATCGTCCAGGGTAACAGAATTATTCACGAAATGAGAAATACATTGATGGAGACATTTTCGTGCCCATGTAGTGTATATATTCCCGATGAGTCAAACAGTCGAGTCCATAAAGCCATATCCACTTTAAGAACTCTGTGTATGAAACTTTTTATTTTTTGTTTCATGAATATATAATCTAGCATTTAAATACTTTACGATACATCTTAATAAATGGGCAAAATATTATCAACGTCAGTCTGTTATATCATAATCCCTATGATTGTCACTGACAAATTTGAGTTTTTGTGTAAAAAACAATTTTGAGCTTCTCAGAAATCTCAGCAGTTCCAATTCTAATTATGCTTTTAACATAAAAAAAATTATATTTATAGGAACAACGAGTCGGAATTTTGTCTGATATTTGTCAGCTAAGGTATGCTTGTAAAAAGATATTCATTATTCTCGATTATAAGTATATTATTAAATATATTCAATCCTTATCTGTCTATTAACGAGAACGTAAATATTATTGAGAAAGTTTACGCTGTTAAATAAATTGATTTAAATTTGTTACATAAATTGATAAGCTAAAGCGAACGCTGAACCATGACGGAAATATGTGTAACGAATGGCGGTTAAGAGTTAGAAATATATAAACTAATTACGTTGTTGACAGTCAAAAATAGACCTCCCACAATGGCAACAGTTACTCTGTGCCTATTATCGTTATCAATCTTTATCGTTCTCAAGCTCAACATAGCGAGTACGAAAATGCATTACCATCGGTATATGCTGTCCGATTACAGGCCACAGCATAAAAACAATGTTCAACAAGACTATAAACGACTACCGCGACCCACGTATCCGCCGGAAAAGCGGATTATGATTAGGTCGGGTACGGACGAGCCGATGGTAGAAATGATCGGGAATGGTGAACATGTACGGCTGCACGATCTACTGGTACGGATATACAATGGCGACAAATTCGTTTGCATTGGAACGCTCTTGACCGAGCAAGTTGCCATAACCGCTAGCACCTGCTACAGATATGGACAAGCCGAGAATTATACCGTCAAGACCTCAAAAGATCAGACCATTGGGTTGTACAACCTAAGCACAGATGCGTTTCCCATTAAGGATAAGGATTCGGTAGTTAGCTTGCTGATTCTAAGGGTACCCGTGCCAAATGTAAGGATTACAGCAAAGCTTTGCTTGGGCAGCCTAGAGGCTAATATGAATGTGGAGCTGCCCACCTACAGTCACACCCGTCGTGTGGTGCAAAATCAACTCTCCCAGGTGCTGCCTCTAGCTGAGTGTCGGCAGCAATTGAATGATACAGACGGCAACATTGTGACAAATGGGATGATCTGTGTTAAGAACGAAAAGCACACGGGCAAATGTCAGAAGACCTTTGGCAGTCCGCTCATTTATGAGAACCAGATCTGCGGCATCAACTTGCTGGGTCACAATTGTCCCAAGAAGTTTGGTGTCGATCTGTATGCCGCCGTCGTTAATGAAGCCCAAGTAAGAAGAAACAGCATTTCAAACATTGCCGCTGCCGACATAGAGGACGCCATATTCTGAGCCAGTGGAATATAATTTATTTCGAATATTTACAAATTCTTATCGGTCGAATCAGTTTATATGATGCTTTCTATATGCGAATGAATATAATACAATCATTTTTTAACTGTTTTTTTTTTTTTGTTTGTTTTAATGTACTCATTTTTTGAGGATTGATAATAGTGTTACAAATAGAAAACCCATCGATTTTCTCTGTTTGCTGTTTTTCGTCGCTCATTGCGTTACAATTCGCAAACAGTTTAAGCTTTACTTTGAAAATAACGTAAACCACTTTGATTTTACATTAAGCGTAAAAGTAAGCTAAATGGGCCAGATAAATCAATTCGATGCCGCTCATTAGGCCATAGCTCAGGCATAACAAATAGAACAAAGTTCACTTGAAATGGAGCACTTACGAAAGGAACTCTTGACTACTCTGACATTGGGGCTTTCTTTATACAAGGTTGAGATCCATATAAATAATTATACTCTGCGGGAGTGCAATCTGAAACATTTGGAACTGTTATCAACTCAGATATCTGATCGATTCCTGCAATGCTGTTGTCTACTTTGTTAAGATTTGTGCTGCTGTTGGCAATCGCCAGTCCCAATATGGCTCAAAAAAAGATTTTGCTAAAGTCAAAAAAGGTTCGAAAGCTTTATGGGACGGGCGATTGGGTGCCCCATTTTGGTTACATTCCCAGCCACGTAGCCAGCCAGCACTTCTATAGAAGTCTTAAAAAGGGCACAATTGTCAATGCTGTAGAGACGGATAACTTTCAAGAATTGAGTGTTTATGTGGCGCGTATTCTCGTTAAAGACAAATTATTTTGCAGCGGTCTTGTGGTCAGTATCCAGACCGTGCTCACGGTCAAAATGTGCATGCACGATAAACTGGCGACAGATGTCGTTGTGAAATTGAGCGATGGCTCAATACATAAAGTGGCCAATAGAACGGACACCCAAGATTTCACAATGTCAAAAACTGCGGACATGCTGACGCTTTTAAGTCTGCAGGACCCGCTGGGAGCACAGTTTGGTAAAGAGCCGCCTATTTGCACGAGCCCCGTGCCATTATCGGAGAAAGTGGACCAGTGGAATTGGGATAAAAATCTGGTCTCTCCGAAAAAGATACTTGCTTCAATGATACCGAGCGATCGCTGCAAGGAAATCATAAACGATCCCGACGGTATGGTGGTCACCCCTGGGATTGACTGTGTCGAAAACACAAAAATTACCAAAAAATGCGAGAAAACCTTTGGACTGCCCTACGTATCGAAGGGCAGTTTCTGTGGCATGAACCTTTTAGGCCACAACTGCCCCAACGCTAGCGCGGCGGATGTCTATGTAAATCTGCTGAAGAAGAATACCTATATAGGTGCGACGCTTTCGAAAGTCTTGGAGAATAATCTGGAGGATAACGTGTTTTAAAAATATTCTGACATTTGATTTGATTTCAATTGATCAAATAAATATGAAACATTGTTAATTGTGAAGTGTTCAATTAAATTAATGAAAAATGTGCTGTCAAATTACGGCTTGGCAAAGATATATTTAATGGGCGGGGCACGTTTAAACATTAAGATACGCTCACATTTGCCGGTTTCATTTTGTGTCATGAATGATGTCAGAGGCATTCAATGGACCAACTGACTGTCTCTGTCTCTTTCTCTCTCGCTCTCTCTGTGCTGCCTGTCTGCTGGCTCACGGCGTTTGTTTCATCAACAAAAAACTTTGTAAACTCAGAAATGAAGTGGCAGCAACATCAACGACAACAACAGCAACAAGGACTACGTTGTGGATGGCAAAAAGAAACCTTTTGTATTGTAGCGATAATGTCATCAACTAAAGTACTCCGTCGGGCATAGTGAAAAGTTCTAGTCAATCGAAATAAAGCACATAATACGTTTGCCGGAAAAGCAGACGTGGATGCCCGTAAATGGAATGGCACATGAAAACTGTGTAAACATCATTAAAATGCTTCTTTTCTATGCCCACTGCAAATGGGGAATCATTCAAATTATACCTTTTTCCTTATTTTGATTATTATTTTTCTGTTTGTTCGATTTTTTGTTTGATTCTGTGTTCTAAGAACTTGATATTTTAACGAAATTTGCAGCTGAATGTTTCGACTGTTGCTTGGCGCACACTCAAATTAATAAAATAATTTGGACTGAATATTTAAAATTGTAAGAGACGCAACCACAGAGCATAAAAATTCCGCTGCCAACTAATTTGTTTTTCACATATTTTCCAACATATTTGCATGTGTATTTCGAACTAAGCGCGTTTGGCCAAAAAGAAAAACCTCAATGAAAATATTCGCAAACAAAAAAAAAAAATGCGGCGGGCCGCAAAGTGAAAACAAAGCAAAGTAAATCGTCGAAAAAAACGTAAACGCATTTGTATGTATGTGCACGTCCTGACTGTGCGCGTATATCTGGCTGTGTGGGACTGTGTGTGTGTGTGTGTGTGTATAAAATTTTACGATAATACGCAACAATTTCGAAATGAGTGCGGCCTGGCCGAATGCTGAGCCTTGAGTGCAAAGAAAGCAATTTCCTCAATATTCTTTATGGCTCAAAGCAAGAGCCTGAAATTGTTTCATGTGGGAGGCGTGAGAAAGAGACGACAGAGAAACACTTTCGCTGCTGTTGTTATTATTTTCAAAGTTCCATAAGTCGACTGCTAATAAAATTTTAGAAGCTCGGCTGTTAACATTATCATAACACACACTGCGGCGCACGAATGTGTAAGTGGCAATATAATAATAATCATGGCGAGAGACACACTCACACATGCACATGCACACAGACAGACACACACTTACATGGCCATTAAGCGCTCTGTCGTCTGTTTGAAGCTTCGACTAGCTTGAGCTTGGGCATTGCGTATACGCCGCGTTGTGCGTGCGCCTTATAATTCATTTATTGACATAATTTCGTTTTATTTTTATTTGCTTCACGGCATTTGCGTTCGCCTTTGCCTTTGATGCGATTGCCACGCCCATTTGCCAACAATGGCAAATTGAAAACATATTGAATATTGAATTTGCCGCCATCCTCCTTAGATCCCACCCCGCCCTTGAGCATAGCCTATTTAATTATGAAGCTGGGCACGCGACGCTGCATACAATTAGATCTTGCTGCTGCTGCATTCATTAAAAAGCACTTTAATCTATGGAGCATGGACGCAAACATGGATCACGCGCCGTCTAATAAATTGGCGTGCTGAGTAAACAAGAAAAAACCAGAGAAAATACAAAAAAAAAAAAATTGAGAAAAAATGCAGAGGAAAAAACGGGAATCTGAATCTTTGGCCGTCGCTGTTGCGCCATTCGGTTATATTTCTTAGCTAACCTGTGGACAGAAATAACAAGAGCAACTACAACTGGACTTGGTCTGCGGATTTGTCTGGCCCGGGTCTGGCATTGGGTACGTGACTGGGAAAATGCATTTCCGCTGCACGTAGAGCCTGGGCAACAAATTTACAACGACAAACCGAAAACTAAAACGAGGCACACGTAAGTCAATCAGCAACTGGACGGCAGCAGTAGCAGCAGCAGTAGCAGTAACAGTAACAACAACAGCAACAGCAGCAGCAGCTACAACTCACAGCATCTGTACTCTAATGCAATGCGGAAGTAACACTCCAATTTAGTGTGTGTGCGGGGAGGGGGAAGGTTGTTTGTGTGTAGCTTCTGATTTTGTTGCTAAGTGAATGAGTTACTTCCGCTTTGCTTAACAATTTCAAATTAAATCACATCAAAGAGCAAAAGGCTAAGGGTCTAAGGGTCATGTGTACTCATATATTTGAATTGGAAATATGTTTGTTATCAACATCCACATTTGAAGTTCGATTTATGGCCAAAGCGCATCAAAAATTAATATATATTGGCTAAAAGAATAACCATTTTTTAATAAGAAACAAATTTTTTGTATATCCATCTATGTCTAAAACTAAGTCAGAGAAATACTTAACGTTTTTATACCCTGAACCCATTAAAAATGGGTATAAGGGTATATTGTATTTGTGCAAAATCCTAATGTATGTAACAGGAAGAAGGAAGCTTCTCCGACCCAAAACAGTATATATATTCTTGATCAGCATCAATAGCCGAGTCGATCTAGCCATGTCCGTCTGTCTGTCCGTCCGTCCGTCCATATGAATGAACGCAAGGATCTTAGAACCTATAAGAGCTGAAATTTTAGATGTAGATGCTCCTAGTTCCCGCGCAGATCGAGTTTGTTTCCGATAATCGATAACTTACTATATCGATATCCTGTTTTTTGGGCAATTTTGGTAAATAATAAGAGCTAGAGTCACCAAACTTTACGTATAGCTTCTAAAATAGAATATATATATGCATTTGATATTGGAAAAAGAGGGTTCAGGGTATCCCATAGTCGGGAGCTCCCGACTAGAACCTTTTACTTGTTGTAACTGAAAACGCAAACGGCGTTTACTTGGCATTGGTTACAAATGATTACAGATAAAATATTAATTTATAAAAGGTATATATATATACATATATATATATGCGTGTGTTTGTATGTGTATATACACCCACTAAAATGACACGCATGACAGGTAATATATAGATTTCATGTGGTGCAATTAACACCTTGCGAGCTGCAGACAAATATTTGCCAAACTTATCAAGCGATTTATCAGTAACAAGTTTTGACAGGCAGTTAGATAGTGGGCAAGAGCGAAAGAGAGTGAGCGGGAGAGAGGGAGAGAGAGGCAGTGAGCGACTAAGAGAGGGACAGAGAGAGAGAGAGAGAGGGATAGAGGGATAGAGACATGTGCGAAGCCAGTTTTTAGGTTTCAATTTTCAGCTTTTTATGACGACATAATTATTGGTAAATAAAATAACAAACACCTGATTTCTTTGCAGCTGATATTTATTTGCCTAGAAATTGGATTACAACGCGCATTCACTGACCGAGCCTGAAGCATTATGGGTTTGCGCATTTGCTGGCAGCATGGGGCAAGCCCAGTCAGTACGCTGTGATGTCGGGCAGCCTGCACCGCCGGCTGCGCTGTTGCCTGGTCTGCATCTTGGCCTTTTTAGGCCTGCAGTCTGTGGTTGTGCTGCTGCGTCTTGGCCTATTTGATGAATTCGCGAG